GGAGTTTCGTCGAGTATAGAGGGGGTTGGAAAACCGGTTGTTAAGATCGAAGAGGCGAAATTGATCGTTACATTCCCAACTTTGCCTCTTCCGGTTGATGCCCCTTATTGGATTCTTGACACCGATTACACGAGCTATTCTGTCGTGTGGAGTTGTTCCAACTTTGGCGTGTTTAGGTAAGTGATTTGAGAAAATTTGTTCTTGATATCTTTTTTTTTTTTTTTTTTTTTCGAGTAAACGGGTGATAGAGAAAATTTGGTATTCCGTTTCAGCATGAGGAACGTTTGGATTTTGGCGAGAGAGGCAAAGCCACCGGTATCCGTGTTGGAGAAAGCTTATCAAGTATTGGATAAAAATAATATAAGTAGGGCGTATTTTATTCGTACAGATCAGAAAAATTGCCCTCTAGAAAATTAAATAAAGTACGATCAGAAATCACGTTTGTTTGAAAAAGTAAGTTGTTTTTGTAAAATATGTTTTTTGTGCTCAATTTGATTAGTGATTATTTATTCATCTTTATTTATTCTATTTGAATCTAATAATTTAAGTAACTATAATTTACTTTATCGAGCGTCGATAAAGATATTTGACGATTGGATCAAATTTATATTCATGCAATCCAATAGCTTAAAAAACTCGACCTATTTTTATTTTATTATTAATTTATAATTTAGCTTGATTTTATAAAATTACGAATACTAAAATTTTACGCTTTTAATTTGCATAATAATTATTCACCGAAGCAGATGTAGATATAGTTAAAATGTTATTATACCTTATGTTAACGTGTTGTTATATTTATTTATTTATGTGCTAAATAGAATGATGTAATGTACGATAAGATAAAAAAATATATTAAAAATATGTGATAATAAGCGATTTTATATCGAAGAATTAAAAAAATGTTTAAAATTGTGAATTTTGAACTGTGTATTAAATTTTATTATGCCTCGTGAAAAAAATGTATTTAAAAAATGGAATAGCACGAGCAAGATGTAGGATAGACCTGACATCTTACGGGATTTTGTGTCGCGTGTTCTGAAATACCGACATCGTAAAAATCATTGTTCACATCTTCTGTGATTCACCATAGGTAATTATCGACAACGATTTTTTACTCGTACTTAAAAAATTATAATTCGAAAATATTTCGGAATAAAGATTAATATCAAAAGCAATTACGATATTTTATACAAATACGATCGTTATTTTACCGCAAAATTAATAATTATTTTTCATCCGTATCTTTAATTTCAAAATGCGAAATTTGAATTTTTTCGTAATTATAATTTAAACCGTAATCGATTTAATCGCAAAAATAATAAAAAAAAACCGCGATTTGATAACGAAGACTGAATGATGGACCAACAAATTTATCGGTCAAAAAACAAACTACCATTACCATCACCATTACCAACGCTACTACTACATATTTAAAAACGAGCACAGTGACAAAGTAGTAACAAAAATGACTTCCCATCCTTTGGACCCGAAGAAAATCCAAAAGATGAGAAATCATTAATAGTTGCCCTCTTCTATGGCAATTTGCCGGGCCTCTTCGGCTCGTAGCCTCTTCTTTCTTCGGGCGCGATGCCTGCTGAAACTTAAATCTAGGCTCGAGATTTATTTCCTAATAAACGAAGAAAAAAAACGAAATGAAAATTGTATCGACCATACATCGGCGCAAAATCTCGAGCTCAACGTTCGTTTCGAGATCAATTTCACGACCACGACCGCGGAATTCGAAAAATCGATAAGTAAAACCAGAAACAACTGGTGATGATCTCTCGTCTCAATTTCACTCTCGATTTTTCAAATTATATTTCCTGAAACAGGTTGCCACGCGAAAACGCGCCTACCCGAACAGAGACTGTGACAACCTGCCCGGCCCTACCTACTTACAATTACTAACAGACACACCAGAAAGTATGCTACCTATCCTACCTAGCCCTATATTTAAAAAGTGGCAAAACACAGGCACGCCAACACACTCACTCCACGGTTCTCACGCATACAAACTCGGGCGCAAAAAGCCTACACTGGGAAGGACGTCCCGGGACGCCTTCGACACCCGAGCTTAATATTACTTTCACACTCTAAGTTTACGTACCATTTTCCTGAAATCGACTGACGATGGCTAGCGATCATTGCGTAAATCGCGAAAAAAAATGCGTATCTCAATCGTAATTATATATTTTCATGATCGAAAGAATAGATATGCTCTCGAAAAAAATAATAATATTAGACTTGATAGTATGAAATTTGATGCCTTTGATATAATTTAAGATAATAAAATCGTATAAAGAATAAAAGATAACGACGCAATTCCACAGGCTAACCATACATACATACATACACATACACAATGTGGAGAATACGTCGCGCACGAACACTAACGCATCGTCAATTGCTGAGAAATTGTTATAAACTTATAAACTAGTATCATCATGCCCATCACCTTTCTCTCACACAAGTAACACCTGGGCACGTGAGTGAGGTCCTGGCAATGGACATGGAAAAGGTTAAACCTGAAAATCCTGAGCTAAAAAAAGTATCAATATATTTATTTTTCATCTAACGAGCTAATATGTTTTCCTAGTTTATCAATATTCTTACTTTATTTCATATTATTTGTAACTCTACTTGATTGATTTTCAATAAATTATTAAAAAGAATTAGAATTGTTAAAACAATTATATTTAAAAAAAAATTAATTAATATTCATTGCAATTTAATATAAATATTAATAGAAATATCCTCAGGCGAATTCTTCATCAAAGTATATTTTCGAAAAAATATAAAAGTATTCAAAATTTGTTACTCTGATTTCGAATTCTGCCTTGTCGCGAAACGTCTTCTTGCATATATTTAATACATTTTATATACGAAAGAAATGAAATTAATATCTTTACAATATTATACTATCGATATTATATTAAAATTTTATCAATATAAAATTAATTATTAGAAAACGCGATATGCAAGAAAACCTATCCTGATCTAATAAATAAAATACAAAAAAAAAAAAACTGTTACTACTCATGGGTATAATAAATACCCATGGTCACTGTGCTCGTGCAAAAATTCTACGTATACAACCAGTCACTCGTGTCGATTTGGATTTTTTATCCTACGACATGATTGAGTGGACCAGAGGAACAAAAATACATGCGACTTACCATTAGATGCGACGAAACTGCATTGCCATCGATGATGCTTATTCTCTTGAAACACTGACTTGAATATATAGCACAAACGAATATTTAAAAGAAAAAGAAAATAAAAGATTATTAACACATTATACACGTTATACATGTTATTAACACGATTTATATTAGATGTAGTCGCGAAACACTGACTCAAATTTCACGAAATGTTATTATAATTGAATTTAATTAAAATTATTATGTTGTAGAAAATATTCGGAATACTATTACGAAGCAATCACTGACTCTAACGGTCGCATTGCACGCGATCACAAAATAGCAAACTTCATTGCGTCACTATGGCAGCCATATTGGAATTTTCCCGCCTTTGAAATGAGACCAGTAATCAGCTAACATCTTGTAAAAAGAAAAATCAAAATTTCTAAATAAATATTTAAAATATATGGAATTAATTGATTATATTAAAATAGAACAACAATCAAGCATAAATTTTATCTTAGGAAATCGTAATATAATATAAGCTACTCTATTCATTCGCTGTGATTCTAACCGTCAAATAAATGAATAAAGAAAAAATAATACTTCAATTACTAAAGATTTTTTAATTTCCAGTAAAAAATGCGTAATAATCGAACAGTAATATATAAAAAATAATTATGGAAGTAAAATACTATTAATAAATAATTCACACACCTCGCGGAAATACGAATACGTCTAAGCAGCACAATTTTCGAGACTACAATGGCACCTCGCGCTTCTGTTTCGATTGTCGAATTATAAATTAGGGAGGGGGAATCGACAACACTCGTTCATATAACATATCGTTCGACAATAAATCGAAACGTGTCGGGCGTGATACAAACATAACCCTCAATTTCTCAGAAAAGCTATTATAAACAATGTTTTCACTGCCTCGAGCAAAAGATACACGAAAGAGAAAGACAAATATATAAACAATACAGAAATTGTACGTTTAGAAGAACGAATACATACCATTGAAATACGCATTACTTTAATTTCATGAAACAAATTATGAATGTACATGTAAAAATGGATAATGAATTAATTTTAAACGTTCGTTTCTCAATAAAAAAATATAAAAATCTATTTCAAATAAATTTGCTTTTATAAAAAGAAATAAAACATTATATGGGGATTGATATATAGGGAAATCGTAGAATAAATCGCCATAGCCATAGTGTATTATAAATCATTATTCTTTCTGGTCATTCTGGCTATCAATCTGCACAAATAAAGATTAAAAAAGATAAAATAAACGTATAGAGTTAAAAATATATTAAAATAGAGCGATAATAAAACTAAAATTCTTGTTGAAAAGCTTGTACGTAGTATAAACTACCGGTAACCTCAACAATCGGACAATCGAACGAAAAAACATAAAAAAATTCACAAAAATTATAACTAATTTCGTTATCACAGTGTTCAATGGATTATTAAATAAACGAAATAATGTATAAATTCACTAATAAAGTAGAAATTACTTACTTTGTAGCGAGGTTACGTATCTCAAATCGGTGACACGTCCTGTCACGATGATTTTCGATAAAAGAATGACGCCACTAGCCACAGTTTCGCCTAGAAGCTTTCTAATTGGCTGGAACTCGTGGTTCCTTATTCACTCAAAACCGCGCGGAAAATAAAACTATAATATCGTACAATACATTTTCATCGTGAATATAATATCGAAATTTTACAAAAATTCGCTTATTAAAAATATAATAAGAATAAATTATTGAAATTATATAAAAATATAAAATTATATATATTTTGTATAAAGATTAATTAAATAAGACATAAAAGTATAAAGACGGAAAATATAATATAAAAATATATAAATAATATATAAAAGTTATATAATATAATATATAAGATAATATATATATAAAGTTATATAATATAATATATAAAAGTTAATATAAAATTTAAATAAATTAACAATATTTAATTAAAACTAAAAACTAAAACATAAAAGAACAAATTTAAAAGTAATTTTTTACCATTAATCGTTTTTTTTCTTTCGAATATAAAAATAATAAAATATAATATAAGAAATATAATCGAAAAAAAGATTACACAAAGATTTTCACACGCTATACAATAGATTTGTTCGTACTTTCTCCCACATGAAAAATACAGGAAATAAACAAGAAATGAAATAAATCGTGCGTTTGCTAATAAAAACACGGTATCAATACTGTTAAATTAAACAAATAAAGTAATATGGGGTACGTGTCACGTGTTAGATCGATCCCTAACTGTTCGTCACGTGGCGTGTATGCTAACAGACACCGTTCAATTGCAAAATCTACAGGATGTCATCAGCGATATATTGTGCAACGGAAAGAAAAAAGGATCCCACCGAGACACCCCACAAAAACAGAATCGCGTTAAAAGGAGGGACGTGTGGACCATGCATGCATATTTCTCACAGGCTGACAACCTCGATTAATCAATATCCTTTTTTTTTTTTTCTGAAACACGACTTTTTACTACTACAATAAATAATAATAATTCTACCCTCCATTCCATTCCACAAGAAGATGAATACTGAGGGTTCCAA